TTTGGTTCTAGAGCAGATGAGACCAAATTGTGGTAATAAATTAATAATATTTAATCTTTTAGTAAAGAAAATTTGTCAAAAGGGGGACAACAAGTATCTACATCAACAAAAATAGTGGAGGAAAAACAAGTTATTCCAGTTTACTAATTTATTCCCAATTGTATCCCGAACCACCACCACCATTTCAGGCAATAGATCACCTTACCAAATCCATATTTTTTTTGACAATGTTTTATTTTAATGGCTCAAATATGCTACCCTATCAATATCTGCATGGATTTTAGATTTGTGAATTTTTTTTACGTTTTTATTTAGTCCTTACGTTTGCAGATAAGTAACTTTGAGCAGTAGCGCTTGCCAGAGGCCTAAGCAACTCGTCGTGTGCTCAAGTTTTCATTGGTTTCCGTCAGTTTTTTCAGTGCAGCTAAAGTTTCTTTGTAATGATGTTTAATGGAATTTACAGCATCACCTTTGGTTTCGCCCTCAAACCCTGAACCCTCTTTAAACTTCATCCTGTGACTACACGAATAACTTCCGCGTCCCCCAAGTTCCAATAATTTTTGACGAAAAATGTGTTTTGTTAGTGACGCCTAAATTCTATTCGCTTTGTTATAAAAATCTAAAGTGCTAATGCATGGTTGCATTGAAGGGCGTATTAACAAACTAGTTTAGTTTATTAGAAAAGTATGTTTCAACTATTACTCCTCGATTCCCATTGTTTTTTCGAGTCGAATTGGAAATGAAAACTTCAGGTTAGATGTGCTCTCAAGCGCAGCAAACACTCAGTTGGTCAACATTTGTTAATTGTTTAAATTAAGCACGTTGACCCAATTACAATTTGTAAATAATAATGATGTAAGCTTTTTGGGTTAATGAGGGTAGCAGGATGTAACGTGTGCGTATATAATATCTGAAGGTACATTTTCAAGTTGAAGTATAAATTTCGTCCATATATCACATTAATTATGTGCTACCGTATCCTAAAACTTCTGAAAGGGAAATAAAGAAAATGCCATTAAACACTTTTTAATATGCACGCATATTGTTAGCTCTAATTTAAACCGCGTATATTCGTACGGCTGAACGTAATTCCATAACGCCTACTTTCTATTAAAATAATTTCGAGTCTACATCCTTATTGTTTGTTAGAATGTTAATTAGAACAGAATTTTAGATGTAAATGAATTTAACAGCTTCCTTTTAGGACGTCTTCCCTTTTCATTTATTAATTAAGTAACGGTAATATGAAAAATTGGGAGTTAATTGCAAAGTATAAATTTCGTATATTTCATTTAAATTTATAACTTTGAAAAACCTTAAATTTTAATTTATGATTTTATAACAAAAGTATCGGCTTTATTTAGTTCGAGTTCAGATGGGTTACGACAAGCATATACCTAAAGAAACAATAAAAAACGGAAAAGTCATAAACTCGCGAATGACTATAAAAACGTCATAAAATTAAACTTTAATTTTCTCCAAGTTGCATTCCATTTCATTTTGGATGTTGTACAATCGATAACAGAGTGCTGCAGATTATCACTTTAGTAGTCGAATTTTTGCATGTTAAAAATGATTTTTTCAGTTCAGCGCCATCTAGATACATTCATATGACACAAAATATTTGTAGCAATATTAAATTTATCCTGACCTTCCATGTTTATAGAGGTATATTATTGTAATTTATAGTCGTGGGTTTAATTACCGCGGAGTCTGAGTAAACACTTGGGTTTTGTAAGCGTGATGTTCGAATTTGCAAATCAATATTTAGCAAATAGTTACTTTCGGACAGACATTATTTGGGTACAATTTTATGTGCTTCATCATTTACTAATTCTTTTTTAGCGGAACAAAAAAAATTGACAAAAAAACGCGAGTTGTGTAATACTGTAATTAAGACATTTACTGCTTATTAATCACGTATTTATTATAAAGCAAGTTAAATACGATACGAGACGTATCTTATCTTAAATTCAAACCTCGAATCCGATATAAAAAAATTATTAATACATTATTTGAAACTTTGTTCAATAGCATTAAAACCATGCAGCGATCACATACCTACTTAGGGGAAAGGTTGTGTTAATAGCAGAGCAAAATGAATTTTAGAAACCAAGGACAGTTAGTTAGATCGATTAGGTATTAATTCGGTTGCAACGTTTTTTCAAATCAACACGGATTTAATCATGCGGAAGCTTCGACGTAATCGCCGCAAAATACGCTCAGAGTTGCATAATTAGACAATTTTACAACGTAATTGTTGACAAGCGTCGTTTCAATTCGAGTCTAGGCAACGTTCACGTTTCATGCACTCTCGTCATCATTAATAAACACAAACTCGTAGATACTAAAGGTCAACTGATGGTAAAATACCTTTTATCGCTTTTTAAGTGATGTATTATAATAAAATACAACGCATCCAATAACGGAATAGGGATTCCTAAGGATGATTCCGAATTTAGTTGACAAACGAAAAGGTATCGTGACCTTTTGCGAACACGCAACACTGCGGTAACATTATTATTTATTGTAGAACTGTAATTATGTAATTTAATTGTATCTCTCAAAATCTTAAGCGTATTACGGTTTCAATTTACTACACACAAAAATCGATATCGTGCGAGACCCCTGTACTGCATCATCTTATTTAGATATAATCGATCGACAGGCAAAACGTATTTATTTGCTTGATTTGAATATTGTTGGAGCGTGGAAAGTGAAAGTAATACCATCTAACAAAATTTTAATTAACCCAGAATATTACTAAATTCAGCCGGAAACATTTTTTCAGAAAATTCCGTTGCCCCATTCAAGTTTCAGTGGCAAAATTTTAGATGGTATCAATTTGTGATGACACTCTCGATCAAATTCGGACATTCTAAGCTAATTTGCGACCCAGTTTCAACTTGTCAATTGTTTGGCTTGTTATTAATTTAATTTACGCTCACATTCAGCCCTGTGATGTATCAAAAACGTCAAACTTAACGGCAGGTTATCTGCCAAAAAACGTTATTTTCCAGGGAAAATGACGTTTTTGAGAGATAACCTGTTCTACTTTTGGCTGACATTTTCCAAAATTTTCGTCAAACATGTTTAAATACTTATAAACTTGACCCCCTCCAGTATTATACCGCTCCTGGTTTAGCGTTTGATGCCATGCTTAAAATTACAAAGTGAAATTACGTTAGTGATAGATCACAAGGCTGATTAGGTAATGAGAAATCTCAAGGAGGAAAAAAGAGAATCAATACAAAATGAGGAATTATTCCATGGGGAAGATACGTGGAGTATGTACCGGTGTTAACAATTATCATGACATTTGTCGTGTTTTTTATCTCCCAAATTTAGTAAAAGGGGATGTTTACTGTTTACATTTCGGATATACTTTTTTGTACATTTTAAATTTCATCATTGCACTTGGGCTTGCTTTTTATTTTAAACCCAATTTCATAAAAAAAAATTACTCTTGATCTGAATCGCGATTTTGACCAGACATAACAATTTTTGGAAACCTAAAGTTGGAATAAAGGTAGCAACATGTTTCCATGGAACCAAGCAGGACATGTTTTGATCAAAATACATGCGGCCCCAGAAAAGCAATTTAACATCTTTGAGTCACACATGCGTTTGAAAGCTTTTACAACTCCAAATTCATGTGTAAAGAATAATTTTGACCCACATAGAAAAGTTGGATATCTAAGAGTCATAGGGAATCATCTAGCGAAAGTCCAAACTCGATTGTATTACAATTTTTCCTATTTTCGATTCACTCGAAGTCATAGCTTTTGTTCCTATTGAATCAGTTTCCTGTACGTCCAAAGTACCAGTACGCCAAATTTCAACACTATCGGCCACTTTTAAAAATAATTATAAAACACACGCACGGACGGACAGCAATACAAAACATAACTGTAATAGTGAGTAGAATTAAATGAATTCTAAAATATTCTTTTTGCGCGATCGGTCATTTCTGACTATTTACCATGGGTGTTTCCATGACAGTACGTAGAATTTACCAGTTACTATGATTACGACGCCAAAATTACTTACCGATCTAAAAACAGAACAGCAAAAATACTTACCGACGCCTTTTTAAAAATCAACAGTCTTACATTACATTTAATCTTTAATTATTGTTAGGTAAATTAAACGTACAATTTGTGCTGTTTTTCCTATAGCAAGACGCTCATAAAGTCATAAAGGAAGTGCAAAGCTAGTAAACTACATTAGACACATGCACATTTTTATGAAATTATTAATTTCAATTTTGACATTTAAACTGGTTGCCTAGTGATGTACACCATACCACTTCGATCATTTCGATTTATTCTGCTCGTTAATTTCTTAGTGCATATTTATATTGGTTGCATAATTTTAATTTCGATCGCGCAAAAAATGTTATAAGCACGTCGAACGTTAAGGGTACCGTCAGACAATAACGCTCCTCCTCCAAACAATTGTCTTCGAACGGTAAAAATCCCTTACCGTTCTCCATACTTAATATACTATTATTAATGCAGCCCAATATTGTCAACAACTACATTCGCATTGGTCACAGTTAATTTTTTTTTAATTTTAAGAAGATGAGTATTTCCTGATATCACTGTACCTATCCAAGTATTCCCACTGCCACCCCTGTATGTAATTGTATAAGAAACACTGCTCTGCTAAACAAGTAAATCGTGTTTGTATGAGTTATGGCCGTAAATAAATTTGCTTGATTTTGTAACTTCCTATTATCTATTTCTAAAACTCGTCTTCGTTATTACTCTCCAAGTTTTAGAATACCCAGGAGAAAAATATGCGAATTGAGAACTAAGAAGAATTGCTAATAAATCACAATAAAGAAAGGCCTTAGCATAATGAAATTATCTACGAGTATAATTGGCGGAATTTTATGACTCACTTTTAATCCTGATTTAACATGACTGGTTTTTTATTGGCTCTTTCATTCAAATGTCCTTTGTATTTTTGTTTAACTATTTTCGTTTTATTTTCAGGTAATAAAAGTCGGCAGGAATAAATGTGGCATATTTTCCAAATACGGTAAGAATACCTACCCTAAAATATTTAAATCTTATTTACTTAGTCCGTTTTTATATTCGTAAACCGAAAATCCATTGTAGATTGTATTCATTGAAAGAATAACCTACAAGCTTTTTCATGTCTTATAAATAGACGTATAAACACGCGTCTCCCATGAAGCAATATGTTGTGGATTTTACGAAGACGCACTAAAATCTGTTTTATGTTAGTAGACATCTGAGGCGTGGTATCGACCCCAAGTAATTAAGAAGTTGCCAACTAGGTATGAAGTGTGCGAACAACACTTGCACTTTATCTTTAGGAAGCCATACCCACGCCGCGCCGTAGGCGTTTCAATTTCATTATTTAGGATTAAATTTTCCCGCACTATAAGAGAAAGATTTAATAAATTTAAACAAGCACGTAAAAGCGCGCACAAGAAAATTTGTGATAAATTTCATCACTTGAAAGAAATGAGGTAGCTGAGAGAACGTCACTACAAATGCCGCAACCTTATTTTTCATCCCTCACTTGATTGAATGAGGAGGGTGGCTAAGCTTGATGTTTTAGTGCCAAACCAAGCGAACACGAATCTGTGGTCAAACCAGTTAACCGATAATTTTTAAAGCTACAACTTTTTTTCTAAGAGATATTTCGCTGGGTTTAGAACAACTCGATTCTTTATTCCACGTTTTAGTTTTATTTTGACATCTGCCAAATACCTACCTAACCTTAAATAAACAGATGTATAAGCGCCTGAAAGCTGTTTGAGAATGACAACGGGGTGAATATGGTCCCTTCCATGTATATTAATAGTTCTTAAGTAGCTTATGGCGGTGTCAATGTGTAAAGTGTATACCCAATGGACTATTAAACAAAAATCCTCATTATAGCACACATATTTCTTATGAATGTGGCTGAAAGCATCTCTCGAGCAATTACACTTTAATAATCGAATCATTTACTAGCTGTTAGCATATCGACTGTCAGGATTGTAAAAAATTAATAAAAACTTGGTAAGTTGCCAACCAAAGTGAAGCTTCAACTTTCCATTTAATTTCACAACGGAATTCTGTTCCACATAGTTTTATTTCAACGACACAATCAAATACATAATGCGCGATACAATTAAGCCTATACTCTCGCTCAAAAATACTAACAAATTTCCAAGGGGAATTGCGCTATCTTCAGCAAAATACCGTAGAGATTCATGCTTCTTGATTTAAAGGCTTCTTGAAATTCATTTCAAAGTTCCCTAAACTATAGGAACGTTGATTACTTATTCATTTTCAAATTAAACTCGTTCCGTCTTTGTTCTACTTGCACGAACGCAGTAATGTGAATGAGGTTTACATCTAGGTCAGTAGGCCATTGGTTAAGCAATTTTATTTATTGCTAAGACACGTTATATACTTATCGTCGAAATATTTGCGAAAAGGTATTCCAACCAAATTTATATTAAAAGTAATTAAATAAAATTGCAAATTCGACAAATGTCAGAAGTCACATCCTTGCCAATATGAATTTGAGTGCAAATTTAACATTGAGTTTGGTGGACGACGTAGTGTTTGAGGTGCAGTTAATTACAATTCACAGTTGGACTATAAAGCAAATCATATAAGAGATATTTAAATTAAGGTGCAAGTAAGGGTTCGCTCAAATCTGTGACGAGAGTGAAAGTAGTGCATCTATGCCAATTAAAGCTGCAACAATAAGTAATGAAAAAATTTGCAATAATCTATAAATTCGCACAACTCAAGGGGTAGTTAAATCGAACGATTGCACCTTGTGCATTTGATTTCTTCCAAAGACTGGTATTTTATTAGAATACGATTTTTCTTTGTTTCGCTTTCAACCGTACAAAAGTAACCCGTGGCGAAAACTGTTTGTGTATAAATAAATTGGCGTAATTATAGTCTACTGAATTTAAATTTAGCCTAGATTAGATTATTTTGGGACATAACCAAAACGGAAAACCACAAATTTAGGTTACGAATAGACTTGTTTTCTAACGAGAGTAATCGGTTATAATTACGTGGTGATTTAAATGTACTTAAGTTGAAGACGTCGCAGATAAATAAAACAATGACACCCGGCTTTACAACGAAATTGTATTGATGTTTTTAGTACTCGACGGTGACGTAAAATCGTTGTAGCAGCTTTATATTTATCTCCCGTAATTTTTCAGAAGACCGAGTGTATTTTTCGAAAGGCCCCCAGTTTTCAATAACATCAAAATTGGGTGCAAATTATAAACTTGGCGTATAATGAATCTTGACTGTTTTCTAAAATCGATTTGAAACTGATTTTAATTTCGCTCACGTTGCTATAAATTAAAATCATCTCGTCGTCTCTGTGACGGAGCTACTCACATTGTAATTACCGCCTTGCAATAACATTTAACAGATCTCCTTTTTACCACTGTATTGTAGTGCATTAGAAAACAATTCAATCCTTGAAGTCCTAGTACGTCATAGGTGTATCGAAATCTGGATCCGGTTAATTGTTTTTAAAGACAAACTTATAATGGGATTATAATTATAGTAAACCTTGTAACTCATAATTAGATGGGACTATAGTATTTAGCATTCGACCCGCATTTCGAAATGAAAACCTAATCTGCCCAATTTGTAATAATTCATAGCCATTGATACTTTTTCTTCTCACATTTCCACTTTTTCTTTGAAAATAAGCGAGAATGTAAGTATGTAAGCGTAATGTTTCAGTTTCAAGGGATTGGGTTCAAATGATCAAACAGCGTCAGTAAAAAAGGTTTGAAAGCATCATATAGTATAATAAAGTACTAAAAATAAATTTCTACTCACTTTAGACAAATCGGTGGATTTTATTGGAATATGGGTTAAATATAGTTTTCAAACAGACAAAGAGATTTATAAAATTGGTTCTTTTATGCAACTAGATAATGCAAGAAAATTGTTTGTCTTAATCGTGTAAGGTGACGAATTCGATCGCCATAACTAACAATGCCATCGCGTACGTATCCAAAAAAAGAACATTCCATCGAAGTATAAAGAATAAAGGCACATCACCGTTTTCTTTGTCAGAGAAAATATGCCTCAGTGGGTGTTTGTCAATTATTGGCATTCCTCAAATCGCTCGAACGGATATGATCACGTAAAGTTTTCCACCTTCGAATGTAATTATAAGCAGATCAGAACCAGAAGCGATCTACTTATTTTATTAATAGAATTCTGGCAATAAGCTTAAGTAAACTTCTGAATCAGAATCCGGTGTACGAATTGTGGATCGAAAGGCGGCTTCGTTTAAAAATAATAACGTAATTAAACCGGGAGGCAACAATTTACTAATAAATTTAGTTGCTTTAGATAATAAATCTTACATAATTAACCTCCGCGAACGGCTTTAAGCTTCTAAAGCTCATTTTTATGTCCCCTTGCGAGCTAGTAAACCTCAAAGTGGAATTAAAACCGTTTTAGACGCTCCTACACGTATCATATGAATACTACATCATCCACTTAAAAATTTATAAAGTTCCAAACAAGAAGATACGATAACGGCATGTGATAGGTGATGACAACATGCGAAAGAAGGACGTGACAATATTTTTCATTAAAATAGATACGCTTCTTTTTCGTTAGTTACGAGTTTAATCTCTTCTCCCCCGGTGTTCTAAAACCCTGACTGAATCGATTAGTGTTGTGTTGCAACAGTAATGTAATTAAGGCGCGTTTCACATAGAAACAATCACGTGCCCCCCTTTTTACGATGTTCATAGTTGTGAAGTAAAGAAAATTAATTGTAAGCAAATGAGCCATCAAATTAAAAATAAACCGAATTCTCGTGTTCATTATTACAACGCATCGAATGAGCGGTTAGAAACTGGTGCCTGTAATGCTCTCTTTCTTAAATTCTCAACATAACTCGGTTATTTTAAGAACGTGAAAAGCATTTAGTCCAGAATATTGATGTTAGACATATGCTTATGTAACTTGCTTGATTCATTCGTCAAGGTAATACGAAGAGGCTATGCGGGTGGTGTGAAAGTTGCTTTATTTATTCCATCCAGTTTAACATGAATGACATGCTTGGATTTGCAGTAACTGCTGTTACCTTGCACCGTATCCGATGAATGTACAATTAGTTCGTCAAAATCCTTCAACAATGGGTACATATTTACAAATATTGATTTCAACAAGTTTGCCAATTTAGTCGAGTTTCCAATTTCCACTTGTTAAAAGTTTCATTCCCCCAACTCGCTCGGCGATTGTATTTAATGCATTCCTATGCAATCTTGACACGTGTTCACTAATTACTCTTCTAAATTTGGAGGGTATCACTTAATTGCGTTAAGTACAAATAAATATGTTGAAACACCTGAATACAATAAAAGATGGCATTTCCTGGCTCCCTTGCGTATAAAATTTGCATTTTCCCCTAGCGTCAATCCAACTTAGTTTAATGTATGTAGAAGAGACTTCTGTAATGCTGGTAGCGGTTTGGTTTAAATATTCATCCTCGCTTGCAGCACGAGATATTTTTCAAGTTGAACGTGTACATCAAGCACATCATTACAGAGTTTCCACCAAAATCCGTTGACAAACATTCTTCCTCTTTTATTAAAGGTGGGCTTATTCGATTATTGATTTGAGGAGTAGAGCAAGCGAGCTTACATTTTTGCGTAAAGCTTGTGTTCTAAGCGTGGCAAAGCTCTATACAAAGCTCACAGCTAATCGTAACCGAGTCTCAAACATAGCAAGACCAAGTTTTCCATTTAACCTGAACGATATATTTTACGAGCTTTTAGTTAAACAACTTGGGACGCTTGATTTATAGTCCGAAACAGTAATAAACTTCTGAAATTGTTATCAATTTATTCGAATTGAATAATATGTTGTGATTGGTACCAGTTAAACAGATTATAAAGTAATCGGGCTATTGTAAATGAAGCCACGAAGAATTAATTATCCGGACAGAGTTGACCTCAATTTAACAAATATCCTAGTTGTAAAATAGATGGCGTTTGCCGTTTTCTTTTTATT